TGTTGAAAAAGAATAATTTTAAGAACTTTATTATTAGATTTATAAGATAATTATAGACCATCAAAAATTCTATTTTCAAAGCTAGATGCTTAATACAATTTTTAACCAAAATTTATCTAATAATACAACATAAAATTTATATTTTAAGATAAAAATTAGTTCTAACTTGGTACAAATTTACTAACTTGTACTCATAAATACAAAAAATTCAAATCTATATATGAATTTTTTACGACTTTTTTCTTAGAAATACCATTTTTAGAGCTATGGTGATGTCAACAAATGTTCTAAGCAATGTTGTGCCATTAAGAATTACTGCATGTCAACACAATACAAAATAATATTAGATTTTATAACATTATACTGTTAAAAGTTACTATGGTAATTACTTGCGGTGTCATAGCAAAAGTAGGATAATAAGCATTGTTTAGGAAAATTTTAGACACATAAAAAGCCATTAGAAGGAATTTGAGGCCCTCTTCTAAAATTGGATGATCAGCCATTTGTGCAATAGAATATTGTACACCAATAGTTTTACCAAATCTTGTAATCACTCTGACTACATACCAAGATTGGTGTTAACTTAATGTTGTTGTATTTCTATTAAGTGTCCTATATTGATTCAAAGGCACTATATAGCTCTCCAACTACATTAATTAGCTATTGTACTAATTTCTCTTATCCACTATTGCATTTTTGACCATCTCAACTTGTAGGCAAATCACCACTATTGTAGAAATTATTAAAAATCTCATTATTACCATCATTAATGAAAATACTACAATAGATACAAGAAAAAATGTAAAAGAGAGTTAAAATTTTAAAAACATAAAACAAAAATCTAATTTGTGTTGCATTATGAACAAAGAGAATGTAATACACAATCCAAAATAGAAGAAAATCTAAACATTGCATTGAATCAACAATTTTATTACATACAAGTACTTTATTGTATAGCCAACATAGCAACAAAGTTTATCTCACATATTTTCTATCATTGTATAATTGCAACACTACAACATCTATTAAAACATGGCACAATCATAACACTACAACACCACAACAACAAAGTCACTGACAAAATTCAGTCCAATTTAGGATGATCCCAGTGCCACCTTTACAAAATTTTTAGTTCTATGAATGAACAGAAGTATACAAAGTTCATCTCACATTGACAACAAGCAAATAGACAACACCACCAGAAAAGTGTTCTTCCAAGGCTTTCAATGTTAGAGGTTAGCGATGAAGTTGGAATTATTCTCAATTACAGGGAAACAAGATGCACGGGGCACTGCGAGCAAGAACACAATGTAGGCTCCAAAGGACGTAGGTAAAGAGAAATGAAGGATGATATCATTTCGCTTGCGGTGATCAATTGAAGTTCCTCGACGAATTCTCAACGTGGTTCCTTGTATCCTCAGTAGAGCCTCGACACAGTTGTTGTGATTGGCCACCACTAAGGATTTGTAACTGCTCATGCTCCAGCGTCAGTGCCATTGCTTCAATAGGTGCTACATTTTCACAAAACGTGATAATTTCTTCAGCAAAATGAAATTTATTTTTTCAAGCTGATTCAGCCGCTGGCACTCATTTCGAGGGTTGATCCAGTGGTTTGCAGATTAATCAGATATGCTGTGCTCTAGGAGAAAGTGTTAGTATGGTCATGACGAAGGTGCAGCAAATGGGTGCAAGAATAAGGATCAGTTTCCTCACAGAAATGGAGAAAACCTTGGCTAAATTCCGAGTTCAAGCCAACAACTACAGTGAAGATATTGCACATCGACAGTGTGATATGGTTTCACTGCCTTTCTGAAGCTATTTTCAGCTCCACAAACTCAGATAAGACGTGTCTACTTGAGTCGGTGCTTCTGAATGAGATAAGCGACGTCACAGGAAACTTTGAGAACTCAGCTTCGACTAATTTTGCTCAAGACGCTAGTATGTTTCTCGTGAGCAGACCTGTCCACATGTTGTTGTAGATATGCCACCATAGTGTAGCCGTTACCTGCTATGTTCAACTTTAGTTGCAAAGATCAAATTCCAAACCATTCTAAGCTCACACAGCTGGCGTTTTTTCAATGCTCACAAATGAAAAGCATGTCTATGCGAAAGTATTCGGACCTATGTGAGCTTCACAAGCTGCCTTCATTCTCCGTTCTCGTTGCTTTTCCTTAGCGACCAGGTGTCTTTCTCCTTGTATGCTTCAGTACGTTTCGTGCATCCCGAAGCTTTTTCCGAAACCTGACAAGTTACATATACTCTATACATTATGTCGGAGTTAACAACCAGATTCAACAACGTTCACATATTCAATCCGCTTGAACCAACTGTTTCGCTCCAAGTCCTAACGCAATGATCCGTGCTGTCTCGTATCCTTCTAGAAATACGCCAGTCTGCGTTACACACCCCACGTTCACGCCGCGGCTCCAGGTGCATCTTCTCAAATTGCAGTTTCGGCTGAACTCTAACTCCTTACCTTTTGATGTGTTATTTTTAGTATAATTTGGTTGGTTGTTTTGGTTTCTTTAGTCCATACTTTCTTGTGCACAAGCGATGTTTTCAATGGATCTCATAACAGTCTGCTAAGCTCACTAAACTATGAGCCGGGTTAGGTGAAAACATGGGTGACGAAAGCCTGAATGTATGCTTGGGTCACTAATCTAAAACTGATTGAGTTGAAAACAAGGGTGCTGGAACTCTGACAGAAGTGACATCGTGCTTGATGAGACCAAAGGGCATAGTACAAAGTGAGGGGAAAACTGGGCCAATCGCTTTGCCCCGAGCATGAGTTTGACCTGACAAAAAATGGCTGTTTCCTTGACAAGGGCTGCGCTGATCTTGTCTTAAGTGGCCAGACCACTTTGGGATGTGCACTTGAGAGGCTTTTTTCATATTATGAAACGGAATGTTGCATAACGTCTTCTAAGCCTCTTGATGCAGTGATGTAAAGCCTCTTTTAAAGGAAAAGATGCAACAATAAGTGGACAGGAATAATCTATGGCCAAGTTGATGGGGGACAAGACCAACACTTGTGGGGCTCCCGTGCCATTTGGTGCAAGAAATTATTTGTTTTTTTTTAATAAGACAAGACAACAATAGGAGGTTCAAACATGGTACTTTTGCAAAACCAAATAACTGGGATTTAACATCTAATGTTTTTAGGTGCTATCACTCAAAACATCAAATCCAAAATATTACCATTCAAATTTTTTCTTATAGCCAAGGCATGGTGTTAAACAATGTAGTATGGAGTCAAAGAGGGAAGAGAGCTGAGGCAAGCAATGCAGCCCTCTTTTGATATTTTGTTTTTAAACTCACTCACCTTGTGATGTGAGTGATTTGGTAAAGTATCAAGTGATATTTTGAAATATTATAAGATACTTCAAGATCTCATCATGAGTGAAATATCATCCAAAAAGGCCATGTTTGAACTTCCTCATGCAAAATTCTTAGTTTATCAAGAATTTTAATTGAAGTCAATTGAACTTCTAAAATTCTTCTAGAATTAAAAAAGATTCAAAATTGTAATAGAATCTATTGAAATTTAAGTGTGCAAGTGTATCAAATCGTTAAAAAAATTAATTAGAAATTTTCTTAAATTTTTTAAAATAATTTATTTTAAAAAAATCTTTTTGAATACAAAGCTTTCTAAATCAATACATCAAAAAAAACATAATATAATATTAAGACCATGATATTATCAAGTGGAAAATAAATGAGTTATTGAAATGACATTAATCATGATTTTTATATTTTATATTTTCTTATTTTTTATAATTAACTTATAGTAATATTATGAAGTCTTTTAAGATTTATGCTAACAATTGATTTGGATATATAATATTTTAATAAAAAAATAATATGGACGTATGTATATATATATATACATACATACATACATATACACACATTTGTATTTGCATAAAAAAATTTGCTGTGTAAGAAAATATCATAATGTTAAAAGATCAATAATGTATCATACCACCAAAATTTTCAAAACACAAAAAAAGTTCTTTATTTATGCCCTTAGTTTTAATTAAATGCTACTTGCAAGTATTCTAATCATTGTGTGTGTTTTTTCTTTTTCCTTTTTTTTTAATACATAGAAGAAGAATTTTTAAATTAATAGTATATATAAGAAAATAAATACTAACTTTAAACTAATAATAGAAATATATTTCAAAATATTAAGCCTGAAAAATTTTTAAAATAAATTTTAAAAAATGAAGAATTATTTTTGTAAAAATAAAATTTTAAGATATCTTTATGAAAAAAATATGTATAATAATTAAAATTTTATTTGATTTTTAATAAATAATTTTAAAAAATTATTAAATAAAATTTAGAGTAAAAATCAAACGAAATAATTAATTATTAATTTAAAAAAATATATATAAGTAATTGATTTTTTTTATTGTTGAAGAATTTTAACAAAAAAAAATTACTTAAATCTTTAGACTTTGTACTAAAAGATATGCAATCAAAAAAGACACGTATAAAACTTAGAAATATCATTCAAATTTAATGATTGTATAAATAGCCCACAAATTAAATAATAAATATAGTAAAATATTGCTAGGCAGACACCCTCTTTTACTACATGGGTATCTCTAATGCCATGAACCCCTTTATGCAAACACTACAACTAATATTTACACTAAAAAGTTTTAAGTTTTGTAATTTTTTTCCAAAACTTCTTACATTTTGGTGTGTATGGGGATATGTGTGGCATGGGGCATCTATACAATAAAAAGGAGTTATCATTACAATAAAATCGGATGTCAAACTAGAAGTTCCCATGCAGTGGAAAGAGGTGCCCAGCTAACAATTCCAATGCAGTTAAGGGGTATCTCCTAGCTGTTCCCAAAAAAAAAAGTTAAATGTATATATATATATATATATATATATATGTACACATACATACATACATACAGAAATATTGCTTTCTGGTTCCTCCCACTATTACATATTCAGAATTCTTCAGTTTCAAACATGAGTTACTCAACTTCAAAAACCAGGACCAAATTTGAAACACCACTACAGTTATTCCACCCTCTGTTCTCTCTGCTTTTTTCTTGTCTTTGCGGTAGATGGCTAGTCCTATCGCCTGCAAGACTAGCTAAAGCCCCTGATACTCTCGGGAGTTACTATGACCACGATCTTCCAGTTTTACAGTAGGCAGTCACATCTTGCTGTGTTAGTTGTTTTAGAGGAAACCTCGAAGAAGGAGAAGAGCTCCACCAGCTTGACAGATTGCTTCCGCTCCAGAACAGACGTGAAAAACCAGGCTGTGCAGGTGATAATAGTGACCGGAAATCCTGTGGATTTTATGCTGACATTCCAACTTCCGGGTCTCTACCACTACATAAGCCATGGATCCTGTTTGCATCACATCACTCACTCGGCAACTTGTATCTCTGTGTGAGTTCACGAATCAGTGGGCTCCAAGGTATGCTGAACCCACCCCCAGGATCTTTGTTAGGGGCATCTGACAAGGTGGTCGTCGGATATTAAAACCATGTGCATTTCTCATTTCATTCATCTAGCGCTGTTTTCAGACCAGGGACACCATCAGACCTCAATGGGTTGCGACAGTGACGATGGTTCCACCCTCACAGTGCTGTAGGGACTCAAGCCTCGTGTTGTAACCCGCATTCTCCAGGTATAAAATCGCAAGCTCTGGTTTCATTTCGATTTCAGTATCCATGGTTGAATTCGTGGTCGAGGCACGGACTCGCAAAACTTGTGAATGGATCATTCCTTAAGAGCTGCAGTGTTCCATTTCGTTGGTTGCTACAGTGAGAGATTTACAAAGTTTTGTCACATGCTTGCTGCGTCTAAATCCTGTAGGTGTCCTGTCGGACTCTTGTTTCCGATGATGAGGCTGCACTCCAGAGATGTCGATGTTGTAATTCTCACCGTTGTAGCAGTCTGTTGAAGTTGTGTACTTCCTTATCCTGGACAGAAGGTTGCAGAGGAATGATCAGAATCTGCACGAATCTAGATTAATGGTGTACAAAAGCTGTTGGTATCAAGCTCTTGACATAGTTGTCTCAGAGGTTCCCGGAGCCCAAACTGGATACGCTGACAAGGAGCGAACGATCATCCTTCCAACCAGAAGATCCCACATCCATCATGAGTGGTCCTTGCCGCCCATTCTACGCTACCTTCGTGCTTCCGAGTTCCCTGCCAGTTAAAGGGTTTCAGAAGTTGCATAGCACTATCAGTACTCTCAACATGTTGCAGCTCTGTAATCGTTCACGAGACAATTCTAGTTCGAGAATTTCAGTGTAGCATGTCTGCGTAATTTCTGGTGTAGGGTCAAGCCCGCTCCAGTTTCCATCACGTTACCGTTGAACAACTCAGCCGACCTCATGGTGTGCATGATGCTTTAAGAAAGCTTGATTTTGCAATGACATTAAATCAAGTAGACACATGAGATCACTGGTAACCCCTACTGTGCACAGACCGAGCCAATTCATGTCCTTGGTATTGAACTAGCAATTCGATTAGGTTCCATGTTGTGGGTCGTAACGAGATTTGCAGTTCGAGAATTTGATTGAATTCGAGAGGCTAAAAGACCAGGACAACAAATCCAGGTTGTTGGAGAAGGTATTCCATCGCGATGTATTTTGAGAAGACCACGGTTGCGAGAATGCTAACCGCAGGGTTCGAATCTGAAAATGGACTTACCGGCCGAAGAGTAGAGTTTTATGTGTTTCTAGCGGCAATATTCATCATGCCCTTGGTGTTGCTGAAGATTACGCGACGGCCAAGGTTGAAGCTGCCGCCATCGCCACCGGCCTATCCTATCATTGGTCACTTGCACTTGCTTGGCAAGCTGCCACATCAAAGTATGACAAACTTGGCGAAGAAGTACGGGGAGATCTACTCCCTCCGCTTAGGCTCGGTGCCTGCCATTGTGATCTCCACCCCAGAGATGGCCAAGGAATTCTTGCTGACTAATGACAAAATCTGGTCGTCTCGCAGTGTCCACATGACGTCAGGATACTACTTCTCATACGACTACGCAGGTCCACTTCACTTCCAGAACGTTCTCCAACAATCTCACGTCATTGACCTCCGCAGTTCACTTCAATGCCAACATTCGCCATTTGATGATTGGATATGTTTTCAGGTATCGCGTTTGCTCCATCCACTCCCGTATGGCGCAGCCTCCGAAAAATATGCATGTCGGAGCTCTTCACACAAAGAAGATTGGAAGCCTCGAAAGGCTTGCGCGAAGAGGAAATGCAGTATATGATTAGGTAAGGAATTTAACATTTCAGTCCAAATCTGCGTCGTGTAATTTATAATGAGAGATCCTTTGCATGGTTTGTTTTACTTTCTGTACCAAAAAGTTCGCTGAGTGTGGCAATTCATGTCATGTGCTCTCAAGGAGCATCCTGGATGACGCACACCAAGGACGGCTCATAGACCTCAAGCTGAAGATCAATGCTCTAACGGCCAACATAGTAGCACGAATGGTGCTCAATAAGCGGTTCACGGGGTGCATAGACTCGACAGTCGAGACGGAAGCTGAAGCGCACCAATTCAAGGAAATGATGGAGGAGCACTTCCTCCTTCTAGGCGTATTCATGATCGGAGACTACATCCCATGGCTAAGTCCCTTGGACCTCGGTGGCACGGAGAAGCGCATGAAATCACTCCGAAAGCGCCTGGACGCCTTCCTAGACGACATCCTCGAAGTCCACGAAGTCAAGCGAGCAAAAGGACCAATCCCGGAGGAAGACCAAGATGTTATTGACGTCCTCTTGAACGAAATGTACCAGCAAGACTCCAACGAATCAAAGCAATTGGACACAAACAACGTCAAGAGTACCATCCTAGTATGTCAGTCTTACCCCTTCCACAGCTGATTCCCACCCAAACCTCCCAAAACTCAAAACCATGCCCGCCAAATTCTAACTTCACTATCTCTACCACGCGCGCAGAACTTGTTCGCCGGTGGTACAGACACCTCAACAGTCACCATTGAATGGGCCATGTCTGAGATGCTCCGAAATCCAACCATCATGGGCAAGCTCAAAGCAGAACTGGACGCCCGGATTGGCAAAGACAGGCGAGTGCGCGAGACCGATCTGTCCGACCTCCCATACCTGCAAGCTGTCACCAAGGAGACCTTCCGTCTGCACCCAGTGGGACCTCTCCTCATCCCCCATGTATCCACCCACGACTGCGAGGTGGGAGGATATCACATCCCTACCGGCACTCGCTTGTATGTAAACGTTTATGCAATTGGGCGCAACCCTAAAGTGTGGGATCGCCCGCTGGAATTCGATCCAGAGAGGTTCATGACGGGGCTGAACGCCGGCGTGGATGTCAAGGGCAAGCACTTTCATTTGTTGCCGTTCGGAACGGGGCGGCGCGGGTGCCCGGCCCTCCCACTCGGCCTTCTCATAGTCCAGTGGACGCTAGCCACGCTTGTGCATGCATTAGACTTGAGCTTGCCCCAGAGCATGGAACCGAAGGACGTGGACATGACAGAGGCCTATGGTTTAACAGTGCCCCGGGCGCAAAGTTTGTATCTGAATGCCAAGCTTCGTGCTGCAGATCATTTGTATTGAGTCACCCACCCGGGCTTTGGAGTCCTCGCTGCTTCACTTCCTCAAGACAGAGACTGTGTTTCTGCTTTCATTTGCTCCAGCTCCAGTTCCTCTTTTGGGGTTGTGTACAGATTGGGTGCGTACATTGGTGCTGTGCCTCGCTACATGCAGAGATTGCTCGGCTACAGCTGGTGTTGATTGTGGTCCTTCATCGTGACTGAAAATGTCACTCTTCGTTTCACGTATTTGACTTAAATTTTTTCAGGACGAGAGAAAGTTTGTTGGGTGATGTAATTTGATGTCTTCCGATTAGGATTATGTTAGTGGGTCTAATTTTTTTGTTTGAATTTTTCAACTTTGAAGCAATATTTAATATCTATTTTGAAAACTTTTAGCATTTGTTAACAAAAACAAGAACAAAAATTTCTTTAAGTTTGTTGCATTGTATCAATAGATTCTAACTTGGTTAGTTGAACTATTAAGGTTTATAATATAGAAGTCAAAATCTATGCCTCTATGCACAAAAAAATTGTAACATTTTAGTTTTCCAAGTCAAAAATCAACCATTCCAAAAATAATGATTTAATTAATTAAAAAATTAAATAAATCAATATTTTTAAAAATAGTTTCTTTAATATTACTAGCAAAGGCAATTCTAATTTACTTCAATAGCTAAAATAGCTAGATTAATATAAAATTAGAATATATTATATTTTTTGTAATATTTTTGGCTTTATTATATTTGAAATAAAGAATATTATCTTTATTAGGAAAATTATATTATAAATGAAAATATTCAATAAAAAAATGGCAATGTATATGAAATAACAACATACATTTTTACATTGGAAAAAGAAAATATATTTTAAAGGACAACATATATTTTTGTCTAATAAAAAACCTTCTTTATTTCAACCATTGAGAAGGTTTTTTTTTTTAATCTCTTTGTCTTATAAATAAACTTCATTATTATATATATATTATATAATTTTAAAAAAATTAGAAGATTCTCTATAATAACAATCATTGGCTAATTCTATAGTATAATAAAAATATCTGAAATTTAAAATAAAAGACATAATTAGGTTCATTTCAAACTTAAATCTCTCTTTGTTTTATTACTATGCATTTATTTGTTTGTTGCCATACTAGCATTAAATTGCTTTTATTTATTTTTTATAGTTGTAATCTTTAGTTTTTTTTTACTCATCTATAAGCTAAGATTCCAATCACCCAATCTATCTCAAAAAAATATAAACAATATAAATGCCATATCTTAATGATTTAAAATAAAAAGTCAAAACCAAATAAATATTGTAAGAAATACAACACATTCTTTGATATACTTACTTTTATACTTCAAAATTGAATTTTCTTACAAAGTAATCTTTAGATACATATTCTTTTATATTTACTAATTATCTTCTTTGATAGTAGTGAGCTCTAAGTACTTGACAAAGTTATAATGTTAACCAAGTGCTTCTAGTAAAACCAAATTCAATAGGGATACATCTTTTACAAATTTTCATTTGATAAGTCCTAAGATCAAAATATTGGAATTACCATATATACTATAATTTGTAATTTTATAATTTAGTAAATTTTATTCATAATACTTAAACAAGGTTTTATATTTTTGTTATCATTTCAAGGGAGGCAAACTTAAGAGAGTTGACACTCCTTAAGAAGGTGCAATATTTTTTTGTTTGTTTTTACTTTCCATAAATTGATTAATTGATTATTTATGATTTCTAATGTTTTTTTATAAGCAAGTTGTTATATAGATTGAGTTTTATTCTAACCACGCCATTATATTACATGTGTTTTTACTTAAGAACACATTAGGTGCCTAGTTGTAGAAGGTAAGTAGAAATTCAAGAACAATCCTACTAAATTTAATAGAATCTTAAATAACCTTAAGTAGATTTTAATAATCTTGATTGAACTTTGACCAATTCAAAATAAATTTAAAAGAAGTTATAAAAGAAATACAAAGAAGTTCCAAACTAATTCTAAAGAAAAATAATAAGAAATCTTAAAAAAATATAAACATAAATCTTTAAAGAAATAATAATAATCTTTTTAAAATACTAAAAATAGAATCTTAATAAGATCCTAAATAAAATTCTAATTAAATCTTATCCAGACCCTAGGTCAAATATTAATTGAAATCCTAATTAAACCTTAATTAAATCCTAAATCATATCCTAATGAAATCCTAATAAAATTCTAAATCCAAAATAAATTCGTAATAAATCCTAAAAAAATTCTAGTCAATTCTTAGTCAAGTTTTAAACCAAATCTCAAAAAAATCCTAATCCTAATCAAATCCATATATACATAATAATATTCTATAGGACCTCCAATACATATTGATTTTGATAGATACATGTCAAGGACAAGAACTCGATGAAAAAGCAATTCAGACAAGTGAGCCTTCACTCAAAGAAAGGTAACAAAATATAAATAAACAAGTATGTATATTGAAAGAGAAACTGGAATGGCTATTGCCAAAAGACAAGAAAACTAGAGACCCTTGAAACTAGACTGGAAGTAAGAAAGGAGTTGATAAGAGTGAAGAAGGCTTCACTCTTGTCTCTATATATACTATCTAATTAGGGACTACGTGGCGATGTTCTATAGGACCTCTAATATGTGTTGACTTTGTAGGACACATGCCTTGACTTACAAAGCAAGTTTTTCTACGTGTGGGCCATATAATTAGCTTGATCTTCAAGCTAACAATATGTGTGGCACATGGCCAACTTGTTGACCACATTTCTAATCCAAAAAGTCAATTAAAGACACCTATGAAGTCAAAGCAACGTCTATGAAGCTTCTAAGAAGCTTCCATATTAAATATTATAGAATCAACTTACTTTTACCTACTTGTATATGTAATTACTAGCTTATATGAATATGTCCGTGACATTACCCCCCCTTCTAGGCACGAGTTCCACGAGGAGCGGTTATCATATGTTGAGGAAATCTATGATGCGACAAATTATATTCGCTACATACTTTGATCTTTGTTCTCTTCGAAGATGATTGATAGGGCCTCTCAACCATCAGTAGAATCCCATACCAAGGCACGAAGACCACCTAGTTATTTGATCATTGTTGAGGCCTTCAGAACTTCCTTCGAATAGAACATTTGGAACACCATCAGGAGTTGTTCCTACCTCTAGCAAAATCACCAAACATCGGGAGTCCCTTCCCAAATCGTGATACCAAATGCGTTGTATCTCGCTGTCGGGGTAGAGAGAGTTTGCCTCAAGAAAGCGCTGGGCTTCTGGCTGTTACTAAATACTCAATCAAGTTTGAAATATAAGGGTAACAATTTTATATATATAAACTCCTCTCCTTTGGAGCAATTACATCAATATACAAGCCTTAAAATCCAAAGAACACCAAAATACTTGATAAGGTGTTATAAAAAACTTATATATCCTTATGAGGAATTTTTCTTGAAGTTCAACAGCTCATAACTTACGATCTAACCGTCTAAACAACTCCAAATTTTACATGGAGTACTGATATATCTTTAACAACTACCACACCAAAATTCAACCGTAAATTCGTCTTGGATCTTGTGATATCTTGAAAACCCTAACTGTAGCTTCAAACCCTAGCTTTTTTACACCCGTGTACAACTTCCTTCATATCTCACAAAGTAATTATTCAAATACTATGAAACTCTGATCTAAAGCTTCTTAACTCAATTACACACACTTGTGAAAATTTTGAGTCAAAAATTCGTCCAGAAACTCAAGATATGGCTTCACCCATAACTAGCAACAAAACAATATACTTACTGCCTTCAAATTACAAGTGCTGTCTTCAACGCCTCATAACTCCTTCACCCAATCTTATAATTCACTATACAGTAAATAGAATGTGTAGCCGAGAAAATGCTCCCTCCAAATCCAGTCGCCGATCGTCTGTTGCTCTCCGTATTCGTATGTGATGCCCAAAAGAAGTGACAGTAGGTATGAAATTGACACCTTATCTTTGAACATTCATATCTTTTCCATAAAAACTCGAAATCATACAAAATCTTCACCCAAATTATATCCAAAACCCTAAACCTTCTGACCCTAGCCTCAAAAGCTCGAATGGCCTCGAAAGACGAACCCTAATTCCTAATATGGCCTCGGGCAGCCTCCTCAAAGCCCATTGGGCATGGTATTCGACCAATAGGGATGAAGTTCTTCACCCCTTGCCTTCATCCAACCATGCCTTACTTTCATCCTTCCCAATAAGCCTCCTTCTAGTTATATTTTCATCTTTTAACTCCTCCCTTCCCTTAATCTTTATACTAACTATCTAAATCCTATATAATATAAACTCTATAATCAAACTAGATTAACTTCCAAATAATTTTTCTTATTTCAATTCATTTTAAATTAACATACTAACTATTCTAACTCACATTAAGACTTATAAACATATTACATGTTTTCACTAATTTTTACATATTGTAAGTAATTACAGTACGACATCGCCATCTATTCGAGGAAGAACATGTCGTTCTTGAAGATCTTTATCTCGATTGCATTGTCTTGAAGGTTGTGACAATCATAATGTCTCGTTCGAGAGGTCAGCAAATGAAGGCTCTTGAGTCAAATCCGGTGGTTGTTGGTTCTCTGTCTCTTGAGCATCACAACTACAAAGAAGCTACAAACAAGAATTGAAAGTAGAATGTTATCTTTCCTAGATGTTGTTTCTTTTATAAAGAAGGTTTTCATCTTGATTTTGATGGATGTCGTCGATGAAAAGCCTCCACCACCTTTGCTGCATTTATAAGATTCTTTATTGGCTCCCATGTGCGTTCACTAATATCATATCCACGCCAATGGACAAGATATTCTAATTTATTTCAGCGTCGCTTTGAATCTAAAACTTCTTCTACTTCAAACTCTTCATTATTGTTTACTTCTATAGAAGGAGGTAGAGCTTGTCGTCTTCTTGGTATGTCCACTGTCTTGTATGGTTCAAGAAGAGACACGTGGAAAATTGGATGGATTTTCATTGACTCCGGTAGATGTAAACAATATGCAACTAGATTGATTTCTGCAGAAATAGAAAATGGTCCCAGCCTTTGATAGTTCAACTTGTCACAAGAACAAGTGGTCTTGATATTGCGATGAAGTAGCCATACCTTATCACCCAAGAGAAATGGTAGTTGTTCCTTTTGATAGACATCCACATTGACTTTTTGTTGTTCTTGAGCCTTTTTTAATTGCGCCTTCATCGTTGTATGT